AGTGCGGCCCGGAAGGGGAAGGGACTTAGCCAGTTCCTAAGTGATGGTGCTGGGATTTGAACCCTCAAACCAGGCACTTCCAACCCAGAGCCAGCATTCTTACCTGCTGCTCAGGAGGAAGGAAAGGCTCTGCCGTTGTGTAGAGTGTGAGGAAGATTCAAAGTTCTTACCACGAAGCCAGGAGGCCTGAGAGGCAGAGGGAAGACGAGCTCAGTTTGAGATGTGTCGATCTAACATTGTTGTCGGGAGTCCAGGGAAATGTGTTGTTTTCATAGCTTCATGTTGAGAAATAGCAGTCGTAGGGTTTGGACACTGCTCCGCTCCGTTCTGTGGTTCCTGATAGAAAGTGTGCACACTCGGGAGGGACAGGTCACACCAGCCCCTTTCTCCTGTCCTCCGGCCTCCGGGGCCCCGGCGTGAGCCCTCAGGTGTCAGCGAGCCGGTCAGGGATTGGAACCGCAGTCTGTGTGTGGCCCAGGCCCTGTAGCCCGGCACCCCAGTGTCCACCCCAGGGGCCAGCACTGAGGGCTACTGTGGGGACACCTGCTGTGTCCGTGTCCCTCTGCCACCTGAGTCCCATGGGACACAAATTCGCAAGCTGCCCCATCCTGAGCCAGGGGCGCCGCCGTGTTCTCCCTACCAGGCCTTCCCGTCGTGTGCCCTGCGGGGCAGCATTGCCTGAGTTCCTGTGCTGAGGGCTGGGCGGGGCGCTACCGGATGACCAGAAGGAGCAGGAGTTTCAGACTCATTTCTGCTCGGTTTTGGAAACATGTGTATGCAAGTGGATTTCAAGGGAACTATTGTTTTTTTCTAATTCCATAAGAGAGATGGAGAAAGAGAGCTGGCACCCATAAGGCCCTGCGCCGTGTCCCCACCCCTCAGCCGGCCTCGAACCCGGGCACCTGTGTCCCCATATACTTCCCAGGTGGTGGAAGCAGAGGGTCGTGTTTGCCGCTCACCACCCTGCAGCCCTGCAGGCGAGATTCCAGTGGTTTGGCCGCAGAGGGCAGCTCGGGCAGCAGAGGGGACGGGCACAGTCTGGAGTGAAGTTCTGGAGCAGAACTTCCCGACAGGGCCTCGAGGTCCACAGAGACGGTGTGCCAGGCTTGCCCTGTAAGGGAGTGCCGCACGGTCTCCTGTGCAGTAGCAGGAACGGTGTGTCGTCGCTCAGGACGGGGTACCGTACACGGCAGTGGTTGTCATCGCATGGCTCCCGAGGCGGGACCTCAGA